CTCCTCATGCGCAGCCACCTGCGGAGGGGCTGAGCGGGGCCGAGGGGACGCCGCCTTTCCCGGCCCGCTGTTCCGGGGGCTTCTGGCAGGTACTTCCTGGAGCAGCCCCCCTGCTCGCCTCCCTTCTCCGCCGGCCCGCGGCCAGCGGACCCGCCGCCGAGGGACGCCTGCCCGCTGCAGCCAGAGGCATCGCGGGAGCAACCTGTCAGCGCACCTCGTAGGCCGTCCCCGAAGGACCCTTCCCACGCGTTAGTTTGTCCCCGAGAGGAGAGTTTGAAGCCCTCTCCATGCCTTATCAAGTTCCTTATCTGAGTGGTTGCCTGAAGCTGTAGACCAGGTCGGCTTTACCAGGTGTAGGGGAGGAAAACGTTATAGCTCTCACACCCCATGCTTAATCGAGGACCACCTATTCTGCTTTGGTTTAACAGATGAAGATGGTGAAATGTGGATTGCCCTGTGAAGAAACTAGATTTCTGTTGCAGAGTGAGGGCTTCGTATTCACCTTCCAATTCCTGATCTCTGCACTTTGAGAGAGGACGTTAATCCTTCTCTCTCATCCCCCTTCCCTAAACCTTTCCTTGCTTCCATGTTGCATTGGTCAGAATTTTGGTCAGTGTTGTTGACAGAAGGGGGGGGGGGCAAAGAAAGCAGTTGAGGTTACAAAAAAGTACTTCTATGACTCATCTACTTGGATTTAAGACATTCTATTTATCTTTCAAGGAGCCTTTGCGTCTCTTTGAGGGAATCAGATGCTTGTTCCTGTTCTTCCAGAGGAGGATGGATTGAAAGTTACACATTTTAGATTTTTTTTGGGCCATTGCTGATATTATTAAAAGACATAATGGGGCTTCTTCACTGGATTATTGCCAGAATTAGTTTACATGCCGAAAAAATGAGTTTTTAGGCCTCTTGTACAATAATGTTTGTCCTGCTTTAATATAAAGTTGCTGTGGAGGTTTGGGTTAAAAATTGTGGAGGACAGTCTGCAGTGGAAGAGGCTCTCTTCATCTCTGGTTGGTGTGGCAACCCCAATCTGTCCTCGATGCCTTCAGCCTTGGCCATCTTCACTTGCCGCCCGAACTCTCACCCGTTTCAGGAGCGTCATGTCTACCTGGACGAGCCCGTCAAGATCGGCCGCTCGGTGGCTCGTTGCCGGCCCGCTCAGAACAATGCAACTTTTGACTGTAAGGTGCTGTCCAGGAACCATGCTCTGGTCTGGTTTGATCACAAGACAGGCAAGGTAAGATATTTTCTTGATTTCAAAGTAACAAACTGCACATTTGTTTGGTGGGTCCCAGCAGGATGCAGATCGCTTTGGTTTTGCCGTAATATAGTTTCTTGTGGAAGGAGTAAGGCTTGTGTAACAGTTAAAACGATTACTTTTCAGGTAAATTGGTAATTTCTTACTAAGAGAAAACTTTAAATATTATTTAAAGTACGTAAACCAGTCGAAAATAGTGATAAGTATTGAAAAATTGCATGTATGTTATTCATCACTGGAAGTAGGTGGATTTGAGGTGAGTAATACAAATCTGAAAGCCCAGGCTTGTATGAATGTAATGGTACAATAGTGTCTTCTCAAATGCTGAGAAATAACTATTTCATCTGTGCATGTAGATAAATCTCATTGCAAGCAGTGTCAAGAAACACACATTAAAAGTATTTGGTTTGTTTGGCACTTCTACTTATTCTTTTGAAATTCTATAGAGAATGTTTTGTTGTTTGTGTCTGATAGATTTGTGACTGGCAGAAGAAGTGTAACAAATGGCATGCAGTGTATTTTCTCCTTGATAGTGAGAATGATTTTAAAATACATCCTGTGTTGGCTTAACTGCTTCTCTCAAAAAGCAAACTGTCTTGTTAAGTGAAATGTAGGGGTTCTGTAGTGCCTGTTTCGTCCACTAGGGTTTGAACTGGGACAAGTAAAGTCATTTTACTTAATGACTGTCCAGTTAATTTTAAATGTTCAGCAAGAAATGAACAAAGTGCAGATTTCAGTTGCTCAGCACTGTGTTTTTGTTTTAAGTCTATTGCTGCAAAGCCCTAGAACTTCCTGTGCTCTAAATCAGCTCTGTGTTTTAGCTTCGCACCATGCCCTTCTATGAAATGTGGTCAGTGTAGCTCTGGAATTTAAAAATAATATAGTCTGTAATGAATGCAATATTTTTTAGCAGATGACACAGCACGAGCAACAGTACAGCACAGTCAAGTTCTTAAACCATCCATTGTTAACTATCCTATGTTATGCAATACCTGGGCATGATGGGACAAGACAAGCATTTTATTTCTTAAGGCTGGGTTATGGCGTGGCTTTCAAGTTACCTGCACGTAATTGTGTGGCCTGCCATCTGTGCTAGTGTTTCATTAAGCATTTTATTTTGGCTCTGTTCTCTATGTGATGTGGACACTTCAGAAAACATAAATGCATTAAATATTTTCAGTTTGAGCTTAGTTTTTAAGCTGTCTTGTTTGACTCTAAGTAAAATGACTCAATTTATTGTATGGTTTTTAAATTTTAAAGTGTTATGCAAATAGCTTTTTTGCAATATTTCTTATGGTTTGTAAAGATTTTAAGATCCTTGTGCTCTTTTAGGCTTAGAAATAGTCTAGTTGTAATTAAACATAAGATGGTTAATTTAACAAAGCATTGAGCATTGCACAAGTCTGCCAGCTGAGTTTAAGAGACAGCTGTAGGTTCTTTTAGTTTTAAATTTCAGTTAGTTTTGGCTTTTCTAATACAGATTAAAAAATTGCATACTTATTAATTTTATCTAGCTGATATAGCAGCTTGGTAGTAGTAAGTGGATGGTATGTGTGACTGCTTGAGGTACTGTCCTATGAGCACTTGTTGGGGGGTCTTGAAAATTCATCAGGTGAGTAGGACCTGGATCAGTAGTCATGTTGATAAACTAAGGAGGGGGTTTAAGGTCATGCCTAGGAATCCATTACTGTGAATTTTGCATGTTAGAAGTTGTGGTACTGTAAAAGTTTTAAAGCATTGATACAGGAGTATGGAGAGTTTTGGATTCTTTGATTTATTTCTTGGCAATATTTTTTCATCTTGTTGAGTATCTGAATGATAAACTGTGAGCTTGCTGGAGGAGAGCGAAAAATGCGTCACTGGAGATAAATACAAAATGCTGTTGTGAAAAGGCAAGTCTTACAATGGAAAATGCAGTCTTAATCATTAATTGCAAATACTAATTGAAAGAATTCTGTGGTGTTTTCAACATAAGAAGAAACTGTGCTAGAACATTTGCATGCAGCAATGTTTAGTATCATTGTTTACGGAACTTCCAATACATCTCACTTAGGAATGTGGTATTATCCTATCAATGATCTATATTTAAACCTGCATAAATTCTTTGCCATGTTCTTTTTAAACATTTCTTAGAAGCTTCTATGTAGGACTTTTACCAATTCTGGGTTTATGAAAGATAAAAGGTGTTGAAATATTAATCTAGTAACAGAGAGAAACCTTCAAATAATACAAAATATCTCATGAGTTATCTGCGGCAGCAGGTTATTCAGTTGGGCAATGCGAGTTTCTGGCATTCCCAGTCACTCAGCCCTGTCTCTGAGGCCTTTCAGTTATAGTCTAATATTTATTTATTTATTTTTCCTGAGGGTTTGGACTTTTGTTTGTTTTGTTTTAGTGAGTCATGTGAGTGATCATGTTTACTACATGATCTGTAAACAGCTGTATCAGCATAATCTGTGCAGAAGGTTAGAAAGAGGGAGCATTAGTAAGCAGTGGCAAGGAAACTAGTGTAGAGATATTTTTTTTAAGGCAGGAGTAGGCTTAAGCTGAACAAGGTCACAGAAATAGACCAAGTTGAAGATGACATGTTACATACAGTTGAAAGATGTGAATGTTTACTTTGTATAAAGGCACTTTAATTATGCATGGAAGAACTTAAGTGCCCAAAGGAGATAATGTGTAACACCAGCATTATTAAAGGTAAAAGTTGGGTAAGTCTTCAAGATCATCAGTAAATAGCAATTAAAAAGCAGATAGTTAAAGTTGGATTACTTTAAAAAAATATTTTAAATAGAAAATATAAGCCTAAAAATGTGGAAGATAAAGGTGAAACAAGGTGGTCGTGGTGATACCGGTAGTCAGACTTTTTCTGTGCTGTGTAATACTTTTACAGACAACCGGAGCAATGCCTCTTTTTTCTTGTTTTTGTAGAAGCATTGTAATATCTCCTTGTGGATCTTTCATACAGCAATTACATTAGAAGCTTATGCTTAGAATTGATGTTGATATTTTTTTTAGTAATTATAAGTTAATCTTTTTAAGAGATGCCTGAAAAAGTGAGTCACTAGATATGTAGGAAGTGGATGTTGTGCTGAGCATGGAGTGTTCCAAAAAGTGTGAATCAAAGCAAAGGAAAAACTAGGCTATCGTTCAGAAAATCTGAATATGTTTGTTCAGCTTCTAACACTACATATGGGCAGAAATTCTGTAAGAACAGCTTAACTGAAATGGTCTTTAATATTTTTTTTACGTTTTTTGTCTGTTTGTTTTTAAAAATAAGCAAGCTGAAAACCCTTGAGAATTTGTATGTGACTTGTCCCAGGTTGAAATGCTTCTGGCAGATGTGGTGAAAGCTTTTAGTAGAAACCTGGATTTTTCAACAGACCTAGGCTTTCAAAAGTTGGAATTATTTAGTGTCTTAAATTGTAAGTGGCTATTGTAAGTACCTTTTCTAGAGAACCCATTGCCACAGTTTGCCAAAGGCACTGAGAAAAACTATGTGAGAAGTATTTTCTTAGACCAGGAGGACTCCAAGTAACTGAACAAAAGTGTAGGCACAGGTTTGTCATAGGGTGGTAGCTAATACTACTGTTTTCATTAATTCATAGGGGCTGTGTGTTTAATTGTGCACATTCATACTGTCTTGCTTATAGAAACACTACTGAATTGAAAGCCAAATAGTCTACATGATAACGAATGAAATTTATTAACAGTGTGCTTTGTAGCCTCTAGGCTTAAAATGTGTGAGACAAAAACAAACCAACCCTGAACCCCCTGCCTCTCTCCCCCATGAAAAAACAACAAGCCCCAAACAAATAAAAAACACTCCAAAACACCACCAACAAATGTACATCGAGGGAATCACAGGCTGACTAGATTGTTTCCCATCTTGGTCTTCTGCCTAAGTTAGGGCACTGCAGTCTGGTTAACAAATGGTTAACAAATGGTTAGATAAGTAAAACAAAACTGGTTTGGGGATCAAGCTCAGTTGTAGTGGCTGTAGGTGGTGCTCTACTTGGATGCTGTTCACAAGCAGATTACTGCATGAGTCCATGACCTGTCCCATTTAACACTTTTAATGACCTGAAGGACATGAAGTACACTCTAATCTATTTGAAGAAATCTAGGTGGAAGTGTTGGTGTGGAGGGGAACAAGTTGATATGCTCAAGGGTAGGGCTGCCATCCAGGGGGACCTGACCTTGCCCATCGAATGAGCCTCAGGAGTCTGAATGAGAACAAATGTCAAGTTGTGCATTTGGAAAGGAAGAATGCCTTGCACCTGCTTAGGCCATGTCTAGGATACAGCATCTGATTTTGGACCACTAATGCAAGAAATACATTGATAAGTGGGACTGTCTTGCTACATTGTGCTAGGGATAAAAGTATATTACCATGAGAGAAAGAAGAGGATGAATTTGTAAAAAGGAAATAAGCTGTTCACCTAACAATACATAGAATGTTTTGTGGAGATAAAAAATTGGACAAGATTCAAGAAGAAAAGGACAATTTCTCTGGACATCCTGTTCATAAGTATTTTAACAAATCTATCTTACAAAATTTAGTGGGATATGAAAAATGTTATTTGGGGTTGCAGGATTTTAATTGGAGAAATTTTTTTTGTGCTGCTTCCTGTAGAGATTGCTGTTTGATACTCTGGGCTATTTGTTGCTGATCTATGTAAGGGATGTTTAATCTCTCGGGTATCAGAAGCATTTCTTTTGGTAGGTACTATGTCTCTTATTTATTCTTCCTCTACTAGGTCTTTTGTTTTTCTGTTACAGTTGTTGTCTTTGAGAGCTGAATAAATGTTTTCTTTTTCAGTTCTTTTGATGTTGCTGCATGTTTACAGTCTGCAGTGTCTGTAGAGGAGACACTTTATCTTCCAAACATTGAATGTTTATTCCAAGTGCCCTGGGAGACTGACCTGGGATCTGTTATAATGCACTTAGGTGAAATTTCAGTGCTTAGACGCTTTCGC